ATTTGCCCCTAGCGGGGGAAATCAACTGTTCTGAACCTTAAATTTGCTACCAAGCTTGCAGTTTCCATCTGGTTGGCTGTTCCCTGTCCCCAATGAAGCAAATGCTCTTAGGGGTGAAGGGGTCACTCTCCTTTCCCTAGCCCTTTACTTTAGAGCACTGTTACACTGTAACTGCCACCACTGTATCCTTAGGACAAGAGGGTGGACTGGTGTTGTCAGGCCCCTGGCAGCAAAGGGCAGAGGGAGAGGGAAAAGGAGAAACTCCAGGTCTTGGCAAAAACCATTTATCCCAAAGTCTCCCCACTCCAAGGACCACAGAATTGCCAGAAGCCTCGGCCCTGCTCCAAGAAACCTCCCTATCAAAGGGCAGAGGACTCCATGTCCCAGGGAGCTGCAGGAGACCTGTGACTACACACCCCAGACATGTTCCCAGGGAGGGGGGAGATGCAAAGCACAGGAGTGAGTGTGTGAGCACAAGCACATGCACACATCGCAGACACACCCCAGCACACATTCCTCACAGATACCCCCAGATGCATGCAACCAGTAAACAGGCACATTCAAAGTATCTCCTTATACCCGAAACTCTTCACAAGTAGCCCCTTAAGACCCACAGAGATGCCCAAATGTACAGACAGCTCAAGAGAGGTCAGGAAACATCCAGGATACTGGCCAGTCACACAGAACTGCCAAAAGAAGATACACCTACTCTGGGATACACGCACAGCCACATACACACAAAGTAGTACATGGCCATGTGCTAGCACACAAACTCAAAGGAGCCACCACACAACGCACAGCGTGAAGTCAGATTAGAGGACAACCCCTGGGGGCGGGGGAGTTAGAGGGGGTGGAGAAGCACACAGGGATTTCAAAACAATCCTGGTTTCGAAATGCTAGAAATGCTGGATTCAGGGCCATTCCCAGTAGAGGCTGGGGGGTGGAGAGTGAGGGGGAGGGGAAGACAGGCTCGCCCAGGGCTACCAACCCTGGCAGGAGAAGACTGAGTCCCAGACCATTAGAAAGGGGGCCCAGAAAGAGACACCAAGGTTAGGAGGTACAGCCGGCCCAGAGCCAGACAGGGAGGGCCTGAGCTGCAGGACAGGAGACAAAGGAGAGGCCTTGGCTCCTGCCACTGACAGTGGCAGTGACCACTTTCTCTACTCCAAGATAGCCTATGGCTCTGCTTCCCTGGCTGCTAGAAGAGCCCCAGTGTAGGCTGAAAACTAAGGGGTCAGAGAGGGTGGGGGGCAGCCCAGGCCTGCAGAGTTAGGCGTCTTCCAGGACTCCACAAATTCAGGATAGGGTAAGGGACCAAGACTTCCCTATTCTCCACAAGAGGCCCCTAGGGGAGACTGAGGCAGTGAAACACAACATACCCCACACCCAGGAAGTTACCCCTCCCATGGCAGCCAGGATGCCCTTACTGCCCCTCCCCCAACCTCTAGGGAAAGTCAGCAGAGCTCACAGAGGGAGGGGGGAGAGGGGAGGTCAGGCCAGGCTGGGGGCGGGGCTGTAGAGGCCTGGCCCTGGCACCCAGCAGAGGAAATTCCAGGCTATAACTCCAGGCTGCCTTCAGGGCCGCCCATCCAAGTGACATGCAGCAGTTCAGCTGCTCCAAGGCTATGGCCTTCTTCACCTAGCCCCTCAGCCCATGACCCTGGCTATCCAGCTCTGAAGCCTCAGCTGTGGGGCTTAGAGGTTGGGACGTAGGAAAACTTAGCACTCCATGAAGAGATACTCAGCCGTGACAAGAGCCCTTGTGGTCCCTAGAGCCAATCTGAGTCTCTTTCCACAGACCCCTGGTGTGAATCTCCAGAGTAGCTATGGGTGGGCAGCTGTTGGGTCTGGCAGGCAGGGGCACAGATGCCAAGCTAGAGCAGCCAGGTGCTCAACAGGTTGAGCCAGTCCCTGGAACAGCCAGCCCCACCCCAGGGAGAGCGGGCTGGCAGAGGCTCCCTGCCTGCGGCACCCAGCCTGTAGCTGCTTCGCTCCCACAGCTGCCCACTTTCCCACGGTGCCATCCCCCTTTATTCATCCCCCACCCCTGGTCAGCAACAGGGCAGTGCCCAGGGTTCTGGTACAAGGAAGCAAGGGATGCCATTTTCCTGTCACCCTTGGGTGCCCAGGCTCTTGAGGTTCCTCACTATCAGCAACCAAAGAGCTTCAGGGAGAGTGAACACGGCATCAGGGCAGCAGGAACCCCACAGTGCCCTCCACCTCCTTGAGGGCCTCTTCTGATCCTGGGAAGACTGGACACAGACACCATGGCTCCCCAGAGCTGCCCCAGGGCGCTGGGACAGAACTTCAGCCTGCAGGCGCCAGAGGCAGTGTGTGGGGGGTGGTGTCCCAGCTTCTCCACTTAGACTCCCGGGAGAGAGCCTGTAGAGCTGGTGAGCACTGGCTCCCTCCACTCTTGCCAGAGCTGCTGCTGCCTGCAGCCCTTAGCACTTTCCTCCCACCACCCTCCAGGGCTCCCTGGAGCTCCATCCCAGCCACTCCCCCCAAAGGCAGGCAGCCCCCCCTTTACACAGCATCTCCTTTAATCTAAAGCAGGTGCCAGGCATTCCAGCCCTTGCTGAGTCGACACTGCCACCCGCTAGGCCTCTGCCCAGAAGGCTACTGCCCTGCCTGGTCATGGAAGTTGAGCCACGGGCCTAGAGTTCCTGCCTAACTCAGGTACCAGGTGGCAGGAACTAGCTAAGCAGAGTCATGGGTGCCCAATGCACTTTCAGCAAGCAAAATCACTGGTTTCCAAATTAGCACTGATGTGCTGAACCCCAGATTTCTGTGGCTGGACCACCAATCCTTCTTTAGGACCCTGCATATCTGCCCACTCCCAGATTTTCCACGCCAGTAATTAGAGACTTGTTCTGAGCTTTCCTATGGACCTCTAGAACCCATTTCCAGCTATAGGGCCCCTGCTACCTGGGGCACAAGAGTCACTCTGGACCCAAGATTATAGGTCTGCTGCCCTTCACCAGCACTTCTCCCAACATGAACCCGTATCCCAATTGGGGTAACTGAGAATCCCCTAGAAGGAAGTGGCCAAAAAGCTGGGCTTTCAGGTCTGGTCCTCCTAGGCCAAGGAGACAGATCACTTGGGGAAGGCAATGCCTTCCTTCCTAGTACCAGATCCCTGCCTCCCACTTTGCCCCTCACCTTCCTCTTCCAGGCTCACTCAGTCCTAAGGCTTCTATCAGCCAGGCCTCAGAACAGACATCAGGAAGACTGGGACTCAGCATGCTCTTCCCCTGGGGCCATGAAATCATGGTCCTGACCCAGAGAAGGCAGCCAAGCCTGTGCTGGGGGATAGCAGAGGAATCCCTGCCCTGAGGAAGTGGCTGCTCCTTGGAGAGTCAAGGAGATGGAAAGAAGAAGGAGAATGGAAGCCCTCACCACCCCAACCCCAGACCCAAGTATCTTTGAAAGAGCTGCTCAGAGACATTAGTGGGATTTTGGCAGATACAATGCAGACAGCCTTCCCAGGTAAATCAGTGTGACAAGGTTAGGAGGGAAGGAAGGAAAAAGATCAAGGGGGCTGCAGAGACCCTTTCCCAGGGCTCAGGCACAAGTCCAGCTCACCTCTGTCAGAAGAACACCTTTCCTCCTGCAGCAGAGGCCCCCCAGACAGGGACACAGACACACACCCCAAGCAGCAGACAGACAGGAGGAGGAGGGAGGGAGGGGGTGTCAGAAAAACCCGGAAGGAAGGAAGCTGGACAGACAGACAGAAGCTGATCCTGGCTTCACTGCTCCAGGGAGACACCCTCCAGACTCCCAGACTTTAAGGGACATTCCCCTTCTCAGCCCCCAAGAGGGAGAAGGGGAGACCCGACTTCCCTGTTGCCTGAAACCAAATTCCAGCAGCCCTGAGGTAGTACTACCCATTTGGAAAAAGGCCTAAGTCTCACTTTTCTTCCTCACATTCTTCCCAAAGGCTTGTTTGGACCAAGGCAGGGGCCACCTCCCCTTAGCAGTACAGGGACACCTCCAAGGAACTGTGACTGCCCCACCCCCAGCCAAGCCCACAGCACTCAGAATCCTTGGCAGAGAAGGCTCCCCCAGTCTCTGGGCTCCTGCTGCTCAAAGGCAGTGTCTGGGGGCAGAGGGTGACCCCAGCTCTCTCCAGCCCCAACCCATCTCCTTCTGGAAGCTCCCATCAGCCAAGGAAGAAGTGCTGGGGTGCTGGGACCCAGGGGGTTGTTGAGCCTGGGAGGGGGACTACATCTCCCAGAAGCCCCCAGGGCAGGGTTCGCTGCTCCAGCTGGCCCAAGGCCGGCCTTGTTCTCTATGCTAGGGTGGCAGGGTCCCCAGGCTGCCCCTAAGCCCTTCTCCCTATGCTTTGGGGCTGCCAACCTAATTGGGGGCCTACGAGTAGCCTCCACTGACCCTGGGGGCGTCCCCCTCCCCTTGAACAGTCTGGGGGTGCGTGCCAGAAGGCAAGAAACAATCAGACTGTGTTTCCCCTCCCCGATTCAAACTGGATCTCCCTCCTCACGCTGCTGCTGACCTGCCATGACTTTCGCCCTAGCCCCCAGCCCACCCCTCACCTCGCGCGGGTCGGGGGTCCTCACGCCAGGCCGGAGCTGGAAGCCATGACCAGGTGAGGGTCGGAGGGTGGATTGGGGTCCTCCTGCTTGCCACTTGGACGTGCGGAGAGGGCGGGCAGGCGGTAATCTTTTGATCCTGGATGCCTTGATCTCAATACCAGCCCGGCCCGGGAGAGGGTATCCGGGGATCGCTGGGAGCCTGGGTTCCTGCCTCCCGACGGCGGAGCATGGTCGTGGGCGCCGGGCAGCGGCGGGAGAGGGTGCACACCCGCTCCGGCCGGGGCTCGGGGCTGGGGTCTCGGCCCCGAACCTCACAGCTCGGAGTCCTGCTCCAGCTCCTCCTCCCTTCCTTCCTTCCTTCCGTCCTTCCTTCCTTCCTTCTCCTCCTCCTTTCACTTTCCCCGAGGCCCGCGGGGACGGCGGGCGCGGGGCGGGGAGGGGGCTGTCTAGGCGCTTATTGTTGGTCGGACGCCGAGGGTCCGGGTCGCAGCCCCCGGGCGGAGCGGCGCCGGGGGACCCAGGCGTGCGGGCGTCCGGCCGGCTGGCTCCGGGCGGCGGCGGTGGTGCAGCGGCCCCGAGTCCGGGGCATGTCCGGCCACTGGCTCCGCCGCGCGCCGCCGCCTCCCCGGGCTCCCTTGCACTGCCGGAGCCTCGCTCGCCCCTCCACTCGGCTCCTCTCCCCAGCCTGAATAAGCATCGGGGCTCTCTGGCTGCCTCCTTCTGCCTTCATACCAGAGCCCGGAGAGGCCCCTGTCAAAATAAGAGCTCCCCCATCTCGCTGGTCTCCTCGCCCAACCCGGCTCCCCCAGCCTCCCAGTGGTCTGACTCGGTAAGGCGCCCAGCCGGCTAGCGCGAGGCAGGTTGGCCCGGGGGCGGGGAGGGGGGCTTCTGTCTTTCTCTCCTACCCATTCCTGAGGACTGGGGAGGAGACGCACCAACAGCATCCCAGGCTAGGGAGAGGTCCCACAAACCTACCCTACTATATGTGCGGACTGGATGGAGTTGCCTGGACACACACACACACACACACACACACACACACACACACCCCGCACAGGCTTCCCTCTTCAATGTACCCACCCACATCCATTATGCACTGAACATCTCTTTTATTCATCTCTCTCTCTCTCTCTCTCTCTCTCTCTCTCTCTCTCTCTCTCCCCCCCCAGTACACCATGAGGACATAGACTGAATTTTCATCTCAAGTCTCAGCAGGGGTGTAAAGTGGATGGTAAGAAAATGTTTGTGGAAGTGAAACCTTTGTCTTCTCAAAAGAAATTTCTCCTAAACTTAAAAGGCTTTCTCCCCCCCCTCCACCTATAGAATAGTAGATACATTGAAAAAGAAATTATAAGGCACTTTTTAAAAACATATCACATGTTATTTCAGTGTTCATCATGAACTTGCAAGAAAGATATTTTGACCCCATTACACAGATGAGGAAACTGAGACTTGCATTATATAAGGATTTACTCAGAATTACACAACTAGACCATGGTAAGCCCAGGACTAGAAGTTGGATTTCTTTATCCCTGGATACCTTCCCCACCCACCCAGAATTAATACCAACAATTGATAAGCATTGACTATTTCAGAAGGAAATGAAACTAACAACTCTATTTGCTCCTTTCTGTTCCCATTGTCCTCTCTCTCCAGAAAACTCTAGTGACCTCCCTCTCTTCTGACCACCTATTATTTGTGCACCACCCATCTGAATGCTTACTTGTATTTTCCTTGTTTCTCCTGTGTGTATGTCTGGTTGGTTCCAAAAGATTCTTAAGGGCTCAGACTATGCCTTCTATCCTCTGTGTTCACCCAAGGTTGGCTCAAGTCCTGGGTAGGTTCATAGTAGAACTTCAGTAAATCTTGACTTGATGGATTGATGGTGCCAGAAACTAGGTACTGAGCAAGGTCTGGGGAGGCTCAAATGTGTGTGTAGTAGGGGGATGAAGATACCCTGACAAACAGATGATAACATAACCTTTCCTGTGTGCCTAACACAATCACAGTTTACAAAGCACTTTCATGAACATTATCTCAGGATCATGCTTTAATCCAATCAACAGAACTTTCCCAAGTGCCTACTAAGAACTGTGCTAGGATAGGGGTTGAATCGTCATAATTCTGAGTTAAGTCTTATCTTCATTTAAAGGTGATGAAACTGAAGCCCAGAGTGACTATCCCAGCACCTAGGATAGTACCTGGCTCTGGAATTAGGGTTTAATTTCTTTTCTTTTCTCCAGGATCCCCAGGGGATAGACTGGATCTCAAAGCAGAGGGCCGGTCCTAAAACATAATAGTTTTTAGGAGGGTCCACTCCATTTACTTGGGTCAGTATCACGTATATGACAAGCCACATGGGCCTTTTCAGATCCTTTTGGCACAAGTTCAATTCATAGTAGGTCCAGAAAACAATGTTTGTAGGGATGAGGGTGGACTCGTTGCAAGGGGTCTCAAATGTGGTACACAGTCAAGTTCAAGAGTGTTCGGTATGTTCTGTGGAGCAGCCATGTGGAGCTGAGCGCTCCCCAGGGTGGGGCTGTGACTCATTCCCCCAGCGTAGGTTCCAGGTCGAGATGCCGAGCAGAGCTCTGGGCAGCCACGAGTTCTGGGTGGAACCCTGGAGCGAAAAAGGAGGCGAGAGGCCCATTGCTGGAATCGAGCAGCTCCCTCTACTGGAGAACTCGGGGAACCACTGTGTTTCCGTATATCTGTGTGTCACTGTGTCACGAGGGATGTCACAGGTGTGTCAGCGAGAGTCGGTGTGGGCATTTGTGGGTGGACGTGCCGGCACGGGTAAGGGTGTGTGAGGTTGCCTGTTCGTGGCTCACTGTGGCTGTGCCAGCGCCATTAGGGGCTTTTTCTGGAAACACAGTGTGTACCCACAACCACATCTTGTGTTATAATTTATTTACTTTGGGGATGGGGGTAGGGGAGGCCCTAGCCATGAAATTACGTATCTTCCTGTTACTGGAATTACTGGGAAAAACGGATCTTCCAGCCGACGTTCCTCACCTGCTCGTTCAGTAGCTTGAGAAGGTGGGAGCGGGTCGGGCCAGGGGAGCATTTCCTGGGAAGCGACTCTACGCGCTGAAGCAACCAGGTACCCAAGAAAGGGTTAACCCGGAGCCCCACAATGGCTTCAATCATTGGTTCAGCGTACTGTCAGTCAGCGTTATGAGGGCGGGGTTTTCGAGGCAGCAGTCGGATTGCCTGGCGCCCCTCAGTTGCCCCTCGACCCCCCACATCATTTCACCCCCATCTCGGTGGAGACACCTTCCTGGGCCCTGGAGGAAGAGCAGATCCGGGCATCCTGGCTTCCCTACTCTCTCCAGCTGCCTGGCTTCCTGATAGATGGTGATTATTATATAATAGACTTGCTGGACAGCACCGTGCCAGCGCTCGGAACACTTTGCCCCCTCCTCGAAGCCTGCTGTAGGACCTGGCACCTGCAGCCCAGAGCCTGCTGCCTAGCTCTGCCGGCGCCCCAAGCACCGTCTCCATCCCGGGGCGGGATCCCAGAGCCACCTTCTCTGGTGGCCTGGGGCCGTGTTCTAGGATGGGGCGGGCGCCAGGCTGGGGAGTCGCGCCGGCGTCCCTAAGGTCTCAGGGTCGGCTTGTGGAGTGTGGCTTTACCAGCGCCTAAGATTATGGGATCCACTAGATCCCCTCCAACCTGAACTTGGAACTTGGGAGCCAACAGAGGTGGGGCTAGGGGGCGCAGGGGCCAAGGTTGGAAAGGGAAAGGAGTTTGGAAAAGGTGCGGGTGCAGGAAACGGGAGGCTGAGAGAGGGGGCCGACGGGGGCAGCGGGGGAGGGACTTTTATCCTGACAGAGCTCCCGCCTTCCCCGACTGGAGGGTTTGGAAAAACTGAGCAGGCAGCCAAGGCTTGGCTGGAAATCCTGCAGCCCACCCTCCTGGGGACACAAAGCTGTAGGGCGGGGGCAGGGCGAGGGAAGAGAGCACGACCCCGGGTGGGCAGGGCCTCTTTTGGGGCTGGGGGCCCAGGGGCCAGGTCCCTGGGGAGGGGGTTCCTGGCGCTGTCTCCCTGCAGTCTGCTTCCCCCTTCTCCCGCTCTCCCCCCTCCTCCCCCTCCCCCTCTCAGGCTCCAGTCTTGCAGATTGCGGGCTGACTTAACTCCTTGCACTCCAGCTCGGTGGAGTCTGAGGTGGTGACGCTGCGAAGGAAAGAAGGAGGGAGGGAGGGACTCCAGATCCCACTCCCACCCACAATTTAACGCCTTGTGGCCCGGAACGCCATCCCGGAACTTGTGCTGGTCAGACCCTGACCGGCTGTCTGGTACAGGAGGAGCCACACGCAAAGCCGCGCACCTGGAACTGTGAAATCCAGTCCACTTTTTGCCCAATCTTAACCGTCTACCCTCCCCGCTCCCATCTTCTATGTCGGTCCTCCACTCTCTGGCCACCCTCCCCGCCTTCACCCACTAGTTGGGGCCGGGGGCCCCTGGCGGATAGAAGGCTGCTGGGATCCCGGAAGTCTGGGTTTGGAAGCTACCTGAGCTTTCTCCTCTATATCCCTCCTCTAAGGCCCCCTCTCAGGTGACCACAGCCCTTGCCTCTTTCACTGACAGAGGGGCTTGCACCCCAACCGAATGTTTACCTTCCCCAGCTCCAGCTAGCACAAGGAACTGAGTTCCTGGAAAATCTGACTTCACCTCTACCTAGACCCCCTCCTCTGTTAGATTTGTCCCCCAAGTTCTGCTACGAATGATTCTGCCCGAGAGGTACTGCAGACTAGGCAGGAAGGAGTTAATGAAGCTCCTGGGCTCAACTTGACAGCCAGGTGAGGCACCGCCCTTCTTGGCCTCAGGTGCGAGTGGGTGGGGAAGACGGGGGACACTGACCTTAAGGGCTGCTTTCCTTTTGCCCCCTGGTGGCTAGATCAGGCTTAGCAACCGTTGGCAAAAGTCTGTTCACGTGGAGGTTCGCGGAAGGACGACTTTGTGAACTGCTAGAAGCTAAAGTCCTCCTCTTCCAAGGGAGAGAGATCCTTCTAGGGGGTGCGGAGAGGGAGCTCCCACTATCCCTGCCTATCGTGCTGTCCCCACTCAGAAGGCTGCCAGACGCTTCCATATCCTTATCCTAGGAACTCTACTTACGGGACCCAAGTATTCGAGACACCTGAAGGAGGGCATGGAATAAAACAGAAGACACCAAGTCCTGACCTCTCAGGATCTCCATATAATAGAGGGGGTTAGAGGAGGAAGCTGCCCCCCCCCCCCAACACACACACACCTTCTTTCCTTTTTTGCCCCAGGCTGTTTCAGAGCTCTTACTCCCTCTAAATCCCAGCATCAGATACAACCCTCAGGCCAGGTCCAAAGCTCCTACCAGCTCCTACCTTGTTCCTTAAGTTTCCCTCCTAAGTGAAGCCATCTTCTGGATCTCGCCCCATAAAAAGACTCTCCTTGCTGGAGCCTAGGAGCTCACAGCCACTTCCTCTTATTCCCAGCATGGCTGCATCTCTTCCCATCTAAAAGCCCTCTCAGGTTAGCAAAGCCAAGGATTTGAAGGGTTCCCTTTCTCCTCCCACCCCCATCTTCAATTGCCTCACTTCTCATTTTCTTTCTTTCTTTTTTTTTTGGTATTGGGGATTGAACTCAGGCACTTGGCCACTGAACCACCCCCAGCCCTATTTTGTATTTTATTTAGAGACAGGGTCTCACTGAGTTGCTTATACCTCACTTTTCCTGACACTGGCTTTGAACTTCCAATCCTCCTGCCTCAGCCTCCCAAGATGCTGGGATTACAGGCACACCTGGCTTCTCTTCTCATTTTCTATTGTCTTCTAAGATTTACGGTACCTGCATAGGCAGTTCACCCAATGGGAGACAATTCTGTCATTTTGTACATTGTGATATTTAACTTATTTATTTGCCTTTTCTTCCAGGAACTCCTTTCTGATGGAGGACTCTGCCTACTTATTCATTCAACAAATACCTATTGAGATCTACTATGTGCCAGTCACTGGACTAGAACTAGACATATGTTAGTGACAAAACAGATAAGGTCCTTACTCTTATACAGCTGACAGCCTAGCTGGGGACAGACAGGTAAAGAGAGGATTTCAATTCAGTGTAACTAGGGCTTAGGGAGCACTTAGGAAAGACCTTACCCGTGTTTTGGGTAACTGCAATATGGATCACCATCTGAACTGAGACTTCATACAAGCCTCAGGTGTGGTTCAATCCAGGCAGACAGAACATATCTTACTGGAGTTCCAAAGATAGACAGGATTGCAGCAAGAGGTCTAGACCAGATGTCATAAGAGATCACTAAAGGCTTAATTTCCATAAAATCCCTTGGTAATAAATTCTCCAAGTCCCCAAAGAAAGAAGATGGGCCTCAGAGTCCAGAGTATGTGATATTGGCCTAGTCAGTCCCACTCTCTGGGCCTTACTTCATTCTTCTTGTTCTTTTTTAACCTACCTCTCAGGCAAGATCTTGGTTTTCTTCAAATATTAAAAAGAAAGAAAGATGGGTTGAATTTAGCTCCAAGATCTTTATTCTGAAGACCGCAATTAGATAGCAGGCTTGTTGAGAGGGATAAACACTTAGCTTTGACCAGCATGGGGAGGGGGCAGAGTTCTTAAACCCAGAAGCAGGTGCTTGCCTAGTGTGTGCAGGGTCCTGGGTTTGATCCCCAGCACCACAAAATAAATAAGCATAAAACTAGGAGAAGTTATCAGAGGCAGGATCCTCAAAAGAAGTCCAAACCAGTCAAGCCTACTCTTTGCCTGCTGCCCATTGGTCTGGAAGTTCTAAGTCCTGGGAACATAATTCTTGCCATTTAATTCTTGTGTTAAAGGCAAGAGTCTTTCTGAGATACTTCTGGGAGCAGAGTGCTTTGGGGGGCAGTGCTTACATTACTTTTCTCTTATATGTAGCACTACAGAACTGATATTTTTAAGAGGTGACAGGCTTACACACAGGTGAAAGTCTTACACACTGGTGAAAGGACTTGCCTGAGATCACGTGGTGGATGAGTGATAGCTGGAAGTCTAATTCCACATCCAGACTCTTTCCACGACACCACCATAGCACTTGTTTCCAACTTTCCATTGGACTTGTTCCTGTGTCTGGCTCATTTCCCTGTGAGGCCATAAGATCTGGGAAGGCAGGCTTGGCCTCCTTATCTGGACCCCCCAGAGCCTGGACGTGGTGCTCAGAACTGCTAGTCTCCCAGGTACCCCCTTTTTTCTCCAAGCCTAACCCTATTGACATGCATATAGACCCCTGGGTCATTTTAAAAAGGCATCCCTGGATTATGGACAAAGCCCTGGGCCAGGCATAGTCAAAGTACCAGTCAGACCTAAAACCTGGTCTGTGACTTGAAGTAAACTGATTAACACTGATTAACTTCCCTAGCCTTCAAGTTCTGTTGAGACCCATAACCTAACTCCTAGGCCTTTTGTAACTTGAAATCCAAGCTTGGGAAGTGTTTTTAAAAAACATAGCTCAGAGGGGCTGGGGATGTGGCTCAAGCGGTAGCGCGCTCGCCTAGCATGTGTGCAGCCCGGGTTCGATCACATACAAATAAAGATGTTGTGTCCGCCAAAAACTAAAAAATAAATATTAAAAAAATTATCTCTCTCTCTCTAAAATATATATATATATATATATATATATATACACACACACACACATACATAGCTCAGAGGTCCTTTTTCAGGATCCCACAGCTTCGGGACCATGTGTGTGCTATCTGCAGGGACTGGGGTGCTATGAACTAGGGCACTTACACCATGGTACTATGCTTAGTCCTATGAAAGTTACAGGATGTGTGAGCTGAATCTATTCTGGACCCCTACAACCCAAACACTGATCATAATTGTAAAACTGAATTATAGGTTTTACTTGTATCTTTGGA